TGGTGGTGATGGTGGTGATGGTGGTGGTGATGGTGGTGGTAGTGGTGATGGTGGTGATGATGGTGGTGATGGTGGTGGTGATGGTGGTGATGGTGGTGGTGGTGATGGTGATGGTGGTGGTAGTGGTAGTGGTGATGATGGTGGTGATGGTGGTGGTGGTGGTGGTGGTGGTGATGGTGATCGTGATGATGATGATGGTGGTGATGATGATGAGGAGGAGACAGGGTCTCACTCTGTAGCTCAGGCTGGCACAGGACTTGCAGGCTGGTAGTTCTACAGCAAGTGTGTTTTACAGAATCCCATCCTGCCATCTTGCTGACCTGACCCCAGTACTTCCTTATATTCTGTCCTTATAAATACATTTTCATGATTTTATTCCTTTGAGAATTTTGCCTCCCTGTCTGTCTTTCTGTCTTAGTCTTCCTCCTCCCTCCTGTCCTTGCTTGGAGTACAAGACACAGTAGCACCTGCCTTCCGTTTTTGCTGATAAGCCTGCTGCAGGCTCCCTTTAAGCCGATTCACAAAGCCATCCTCGCTGCTCAGCATCCTCTACCAGCAGCAGCAGCCACCTCCAGGAGGGAGACCTGTTGGTCAGAGTGACCTGTTGGACAGAGGGACCAAATGAGGAGAGCAGGATGCGCAGTGAACGACCTGCTTTGTTCCAGGACCTCATGCTCTGCAGACTTTCCCCTCCTGATCCCAGGCCATTTTCCCATACGTAAACCACCTACACTGACCCTCCAAGGCAGCTGGTTCAGGGCTATTAAAACACAATGCTATCAAAGTGTTCTGCCTAGCAACAAATGATGCAAAACTCATCAGCCTTGATTGGCTAACGGTCTGAGGATGGTTCCCCTCTCAGGGAGGCTGGACGGTTATCTACACTTTGTGATTTTTTTCACTTCTGTGGAAGACGGCTCCATTCTAAAGACGTGCACCAGCCTCTTCACCATCCCATTGTCCCCCCGGAATGGGTGCTGGGAGGGCCCCCTGGGTGGTGGCTCTGCTCGTGAGCCTCTTGAGGCCAGATTCCTTCATGGCTGAAGGCAGAGACACCCCAGGTAAGATCAGAGCATTTGTTTCTGGGTGTGTCTGCTCGAGGGTCACTTTCTCCCGTAGACCAAAGTCTCAGAATCGAGTGGCTCTGACCTCAAAGAGCAGCTGTCCTCCCCCTGACCAGGAAGCTTTGAAGCCTCCTCACCATCCAGGATGAGAGGCCTTCCTGTACTTGAGATGCAGATGCCAGGGGAGGGAGGGAGGAGGAAGGGAGGGAGGAGGATGGAGGAGATGTTTTTTCCTCGTTGGTCCTTACGCATCAACTTCAGACACCTGAACCTTGAAAGCCGGAGCCTGCGAGCAGCTGAGCCCCCTAAGCTCTCGTTATGACTTTCTGTTTATCTAGAGAAACCGGGAATCACCTCTCCTGCCCCTGAAGTCAGACAGGTTGAGCGTGTTAGTGATTTCTGGCCTCAGGTTCTTGTGTGCCATCTGTTTTTTAGCCGGGGAGATGGGCCCTGGAAAGAGAGTGTTGTCGGACCATGAAGGTGCAGGGTTATGAGCAGGAAACAGGATGTGCTACGATAAGAAAAGACTCCCTCGAGGGCCAGAGTCCCGTTAAGTGCAGAAGGGGAACAAGCCCGGTGGGGGAGGGGAGGAGCAGCATTTGCCTCTGAGGACAAGAGCTGCTCTGAGTTCGTCATGCCCACTGATGAATGGAAAAAAACAATCACCATTGATTCTTTTAAACGATGATGAAGGCTCCACGTATCTCTTCTCTAGCTTGTAAGAGGGAAGGGTGGCGAGGGGCTGGAGCCTGGTTCCTCGTGTGAACTCAGGGACCAGGGCAGAGGCCTGGGTGGGCGTGAGAGCCACTCTCACGGGGAGGCTGAGCATCCCTGGAGGAGGCTGCCCAGCTTAGGAGCGAGCAGACCCACAGCGCAAGCACAGTAACCGTTTTCCTCCAGGTGGCAGTCAGACGGTCACGGAGGACCGCCTGCTTTCTCATTCCCGAGCACAGCACGCCATCGTCACGAGAGGCCTTTCCCTCCCCGTCCCGCCCCCTCTCTCTTCTGCTCTCTCCATGAAGGCCACTCCAAGTGTGTCTTCAACACGAGTGTGGTGTTCGAAAGCAGGGAGCTGGCAAAGCCACGATGGCTCCGTGGGTAAAGCCGCTTGCTGCCAAACCTGAGCTCAATCTCCAGGACCCACATGTTGGGGCAGAGGGGGATGAGGATAGGGATGTGGGGGGACCAAGGGGGGAACTCACTCCTGAGGACAGTTTTTCCTGTAGAGTTCACATTTTAATAAACGCCAGCGAGCACTGGCCAGTCCGTGTTTTTGTCTCTGGACGTTACGTGTTTGAGCGCGCTGCCGTCGAAGGGCTCCCCCGAAATCTGCACCCTCTGACTCAGCATGCCTGGTGCAGGCTTCCCCAGAGGCCCAGAGCCCCAGAGGCCCAGAGCCCCAGAGGCCCAGAGGTGTGGCTGGTTCCTAACCCTTTCATGGTTTCCAGAGGATTTTGTGATCCAGGCGAAGGCGGACTGTTACTTCACCAATGGCACGGAGAGGGTGCGCTTCGTGGTCAGGTTCATCTTCAACCTGGAGGAGTATTTACACTTCGACAGCGACCTGGGGGTGTTCGTGGCGCTGACGGAGCTGGGGGAGCCTGATGCCGAGCAGTGGAACAGACGCCCGGATCTCCTGGCGAGGAGCAGAGCCTCTGTGAACCTGGTCTGCAGGCAGAACTACAGGCTGGGGGCCCCCTTCACCGTGGGGAGAAACGGTGAGGGAGGCGCCCAGCGGGACTCTCCGCCACAGCCTACGACAGGCGTTTAAAATGCTTTAAACTCCATCCATGGGTCTGTCTATGGTCTGTCTATCTATCTATCTATCTATCTATCTATCTATCTATCTATCATCTGTCTATCATCTATCAGTCATCAGTCTATCATCTCTCTCTCTCTCTCTTTCTCTCTGTCCATCCGTCCGTCTGTCTGTCTGTCTGTCTATTTGTGTGTGTGTGTGTGCTGGCAGAGTCTAACTCCTCCTTGCAGCGTCCACACATGCTTCTCAGTCTGGGGGCTTAGGTACCCCGCACTGCCAGCGTCTCCTTGGCTGGCCCGGGACATGGCTCAAGGGTGGCCACAGTTGCTATGGATGCTCCTGACCTTGGTGCCCTTTCTTCTCTTGCCAGTGCCCCCGGAGGTGACAGTGTACCCAGAGAGGACCCCGTTGCTGGGGCAGCGCAACCTGCTGCTCTGCCTGGTGACAGGCTTCTACCCCGGGGACATAAGCGTCAGGTGGTTCCGGAACGGACAGGAGGAGCGGTCTGGGGTCTTGTCCACGGGCCTTGTGAGGAACGGGGACTGGACCTTCCAGACGACGGTAATGCTGGAAGTGACCCCAGAGCTTGGGGACATCTACAGCTGCCAGGTGGAGCACCCCAGCCTCCCGAGCCCCGTTTCCGTGGCGTGGAGTGAGCTTTATTTTATTTTATCTTTGTTGTTGTTTTTAAATTTTCTGGGGCTCAACCTGTAGGGTGGTGTCACTCCTGTGCTCATCTTGGTTACAGGACAAGTCCCCTGGTCGAAGAGTCCTAGTGCCAGGGCGGAGGGGACAGGACAGGCGTCCAGCCTCACAGTGTCCAGGTGATAGGGCGGGCAGTTAGCACACAACTCGCCTCTAAAACTGGTACCTAGTTCCCCTTAGCACTTCAGCCGACACTGCCATGGGCTGCCACGCCAGCATGGGCAGCTGAGCTTGATGCCCAGACTGTGTGAAAACCCAGCTGCTCTGGTGTCTGCATTCCCAGGGCCAGGGAGGTGGAGACAGGCAGGTCCCTGGGGCCAGCCTCACCTGCTTAGTGAGTTTCAGGCCAGCGAGGGACCCAGGGAACTACAGCCGAAGCAGCAAAGGCGGGAGGCATCTGAGGACCACGCCTGAAGCTGACCTCTTCTCTATGCACAAGTGCACACACACACAGACACACACACACACACACACACACGTGCGCACACACAGTCGGTGACAGATGGGACCGACTATCTCTACACTTACCTCTTCCCTGAGCCGTTCTGGGCTTGGGGTCTAGTGCAGGCTTTGGGGTTTTAGGAGGTTGGGTCCAGTATTGGGAGCACGGCGTTGACTTTAAATCTTGTTTTCCCATAGCGGCTCAGCCTGAGTATTCGTGGAAAAAGATACTGAGTGGGGGCGCGGCGTTCCTGCTTGGGCTAATCGTCTTCCTGGTGGGCGCTGTTAGCCACCTCAAGGCCCGGAAAGGTAACGGACCTCCGGGAGAGCCCTCCCACCTGCCCTGTGGCTTCTCCCCTTCTGAGCGAGGGGAGGCCGCTCAGGGGAGTCCAGGGGACACAGAGATGAGTGCCGACACTGAAGGCCACCCCCCAATCACATTTGATCCTAATTGGGGACCCCGTTCTCTCTCTTCCCAGCGTCTGAGCGGACTCAGTCTGGCCGTGAGGTAGGCGCCCGTTCTTGTCTTTAGCTGGCAGATCACGGCCTCGTTTCTTTGGCCAGAGCGAGAGGACACCACAGAGCGAGGGAGGCAGAGGGGCCTCTGGCCGCGTCATTGTCTCCTGAGTGTGGGGAACAGGAAGGTGGGAAGCCTCCTCAGACCCCCCCCCCATTCCTGCAGGTCTCAGGAGCTCTTCTCCCACCTCACCCTTAGAAAGACCCTGAGGGAAGCTTCTCCACAGCGCCTGAGGAAGTGTCAGAAGGCCCGACCCGGGTCAGTAAAGAAGGCTGGTTCTAGAGTCTGAGATGTGCTCATGTGTCCTCCCCTCCGGCCTGCACCTCAGCAGGCCTCACTTCCAGGACACAGTCCAGAAACTTCCCTAGGACCTAACTCACTCCGGTTCCAAGTTGTTTCAGCCTCTGTGGCTGCCCTGAACCCTGTGCTGGAGAAGCCCAGCCCTTCTGTCTCCCAGACAGTTGCCTTAAAATCCTTCGTATTGTAAAATAAAACAGTCACAGATAACCACAGTGCATGTATAATTTAATGATTTATTTAGGGCAAAACCCACATAACTACCAGCTCAGGTCAAAACACAGACTGTGGTGGTGTCTTCGGAAGCGCCCTGTGCCTCGGCCAATCAACACCCACACCCACACGCACATGCACACGCACACACATGGGGCGGGCTGGATGGCGCCTCAGCCGAGCATACATTTCTGCATGCCGTACTCCGCTGTCCCTCTTGTCTCTAGGACTTCCAGATGCTTTATGGCCCCTTTCCTTCCTGTTAGGACTAGGGTTGTTGAGAAGCCTCAGCCAAGGTGAAGGGTTCCCGTCCTCACATTTTCTGGCCTGCACACACATGGCGCCGCCGGACACACTCCTTTGCCCTTTAAGGGTGTTTTTGTTTTCTCTGACTTAGCACCTGATGCAGCCAGGGGTCAGGCTCGGGTCTGCTTCTTTCCATGTCTATAGGGGCCGTGTCCTTTTCCGTCACATTGTAGCTCCTTGTTTCTCTTTTCATGATGTTACAATAGCCTGACGCTAAGTGCCCCCCACCCCCTGTTACTTTATTGGAGTGGCTACATTGTGACAGTCTGTCTAGGATCCCTTCTGCGTTTATTTGGTGGGTTCTGTTGGCTCCATTCTAGTTAACTGCGCTGGAAGTTCAAAGCGGCGCTGAGTCTGTGGGCGTCGTGCACTGACCCCGCCTTTCACGGGGCGTCCCTTTTGTCCAGTGCTGCGCCATCCTAAAGCCAGGACCTAGTTTCCTTAATAGTGGCCTCAGTGGACAATAAAGTTGTTGGCTTTGATCAACCTTGACCCCCGAGTAACCATCTTTTTACTGGGAGTGTTTCTGTTGTATGCAGATGGGAAGGCAGTGTAAATCTTGGGTGAGTTCTGCGTGGGAGCAGAATGCTCCCTCCAATGGACCATCATTTTGTCTTGATATAAAGTATATTTTTATTTTTTATTGTTTGAGAATGTCATATGTGTGTATCATGTATTTTGATCAAATCCATCCCCATTTCCTCCCTTCCAATTCTCCTCCCCCCTGGCTGCATTCACCTCCCAACTCCTTTGCGCTTCAGGTCACGGGGTCAGCTTGGTTCTGCCTGGATGTTGGTGGCAGCAGGTCTGTCTGCTGGAGTGTGTGAGACTCTCAGGGGCGGCACCCTTGGAGAACACGGACCTTCCCTCCCCAGCAGCTGTCAGCTGCCTGCCAGTAGCCCCCTGGCTACCGGTGAGATTTCACCAATCCCTCCCATTCATGGTCTTGGACCACACAGACACTTTCTCAAGGACTTGTAGGTTGTTGTGAAATAAACTGCAGTTTAGTTGGCTGGAGATTTTCTGGGGCGTTTTCATTGTCTGAGGGGATGTTATTCCTCTTAAATGGCCTCCACATTTGTTCCACACTGCCAGTAAAGCACACTAACAGTTTGAAGTAGATAAAGCCCACAGCATAGTTTTTAATGTAAAGCTGTTTTTCTTGCCTTTCCTGAGGATAGCATGCGACACGCCCCTGTGCTCTGGCACGGAGCCCACAGGACGCTGGCTCTCCAGTAAACCCCGTGGCTCCCAAACCTCACCTGGGCTCTTCTTTTCCACTCTTTCCTGGCTCAGTTTTGATTCTGTTCCCCACAGTTTTCCCTCTTTGGGTATTCCTGTCTGAAGATTTTTCTCTTAAAAGTCCTATGATTTTATGTTTTCTGATATAGTCTATAACCACTCTAACTTAGTATTTAAATATAAAATTCGAAGCCTTTTAGCATGTAGTTGTTTTGTTTGTTTTATTTGTTTCTTTTGTTTTTGTGACAGAATCTCACACAGCCCAGGCTGGCCTCAGTATCACCGTGAGCCTGAAGCTGGTCTTGAACTCCTGTTTCCACCTCTCACGTGCTAGGTTTACCAGCATGTGACACCAGGCACAGTCCTTCTAAATATAGTTTCATTCCTTCAGTGCCATCTGTTGAAAACACTACCTTCTCTATAATGCATCATTTTTACCTTTTTATCAAAATTATTTAGGGGCTGAAAGGGTAAAAGTGCTCGCAGGCAAGCGTGGGCAACTTGAGTTTGATTCCAGGAGCCAAAACAGTGGACGGAGAGAACTGTCTCCCACAGGTAGTCCTCTGACCTCTGACACAGCGTGCATACCGCCACCCCCCCACCCTCACACACACGTATGCACATACGCACACACACACACACACACACACACACACACACACAAGGGCACTGACATTTTGGTTTGTGATATGCAAACATGTTGGGGATTTTAGTTTGTGTCTCTCGAGCAGCGTGGTCTTTGCCTGGTGGGATTGGTTGAATCCTGAGGACTCTGAGGGTATAAATAGGACAGCCCGGAGGAAAAAGGCTCGGCTGCTTTTTGGACTGCTTGCTGCTGGTTCATCCTGCTGCCGGTTTGCTGTTTGCTGATTTGCCAGTTACTTGGGTTTCTGGATTTCTGCATGGCTGACACTGGTATTTCCCCCAACGAATCCTACGACCCCACCCAGCAGGACGGAGCAGAGAGAACCCCACCCCATCCCCACTAACCTTCTTTCTCTCCTACTCAGTGTTGGGGGG